TCCGTGGTGAGCAAATCACTTCCAGGCAGCTCTTTGGAAAGGCTGCTGGGAGCCCCGGATGGGTCCGCAGGCTCTTGCGACACTGTGCAGGGCAGGACGGGGAGCAGGGATGGGAGTAGGAGCCAGCAGAGAGGGCCAGCGGGTCCCGTGCTTTCTGCAGGGGACGGCCAGCAGCACACCAGAACTTAAAGCCGCTCTGGATGCCCCGAGTTGCTGCTTGTAGGATCCAGGGCGAGGGGGAAGCTGCCTTTCTGCTGCTCCGAGTTTTGGCTCTGAGGAAGGCAGGCCAGCCAGGGCTGTTGCTTCGCGCTGTGTGTCTCCAGCTAGGCTTTGCGCTCTGATTTTCTGCCGTGGGCTCGCCTTACCAGTGTCTCCTGGCCCGTGTTGCAGTGGGTTAGGGGCGTGTTCTTTCCCACATGCCGTGTGTCAGCTTAACCCCATGTCCCCGTGCTCAGCGTTCCTGCAGCAGAAATTGGCGCAGGGATGCTCTTTGTTCCTCTCTTCCCGCTGCCGATCTCATCTCCTTCTCTGCCTTTCCTCTCCCCAGAAGTCGGAGTGGGGGAATGATCATGGATCCTCTCCGATCTGGCATCCCACAGCCCGGCATTGACCCGTCGTCAGGCATCCCAGGCCGGCTTCCCCCGGGAGCAGTTCCACCGGGCGCCAGATTCGACCCCTTTGGCCCATTAGGGGCTGGCAGATCCAGGTAGGTTCTCACTGTGTCTGTGCTCGGGGCTGCCCCTGGATCTCCTGGCTCATCCCTGTTGCTGCAGGACTGAGATCTCTCTTTCTGGTTTGACTCTGCTCTGAATTTCTTTTCAGGCCGGATCCCGACCACCTTCCCCCTCCAGGCTACGATGACATGTTCATGTGAGGAGTTGCTGCGTGGCTTCTTATGGCTGCGGCCAGAGCAGTCTCCTGGGAAGCAGGGGCGCTTTCTCCTCTCCAGTCCCCGTTGGGTGGATTTTGATTTTTTCAGCAGCGTTTTTCTCCCCACTCGGGGCCACTTTCCTGTGTCAGACCAGCTATAAAGATTTCCCTGCCGAGAGGAGGCAGTAGGTCCATTTCTTTCCATGCTCCTCTGGCCGTTTGCGCCCAGCTGAAGTGGTCCTGCCTGTTGTGAGGCAGCAGTGTGGGTTGCGGCATTTCGAGAACGACCTGGGCCCTGTGGGGTTTCATCCTTTGCTTGTCTGGGGTGGCACTGCCTTTGCTGCTGGGTTGGTGCTGAGGAGGGAGCTGGCTTCTTGCTGCTCCCATGCTGGGGAGCTGCCATAGCCTCACTGAAGGCAGAAGCTGGAGCAGGCTCCCCATGCAGAGATGGTTTCTCTCTTGCTCTTTGTCCAAGTGAAGGGTTTTCATTGGGAAGGGCTGGGGGTCTCCCTGGGCAGACCCCTGCAGCAGCTGACATCAGCTTCCCCATTGCTGTACCCGCTGGCTTTAACAAACACCAACAACAAAGCCTTCGAGGTGTGTGAGAAAAGACATGTATTGAATTCTTGACCCCACCTTGCTCCCTCTCTCCACTGGAGCCGCTATTTTTCATTCCTGGGGTGCACACGAAGCCCCCCCAGGCAGTGTGGTGAGAGCCAGGGTTGCTCAGCACCCACACGACCTGTGGGGCCCAGCGTTGGCTCTCTGGGTATGGCGGAGCTGAGCTGGGACCGAGCTGGGACCCCTCTGGGGATGCTCTCTGGGTGCTCACTTGGCTGTGGGATTTGTTGTGGAAGAGGTTTTAGAATAGGTTTCCTCACTATCAGTCCTGTTGCATGAGGCTGGTGCGGCTCAGCCTAGCTGAACTCTGAAAAACAGCTCGGGGAGGACGGGTGAGATCCATGTGGCTCAGGCTCCTGAGCTTTTTCTGGAAACCTCCTCCCTTTCCCACAGCTTCCACCCCACGTCAGGTAATTTTTAGGCTGCAGCTCATCTGTCCTGTCAAGGGTTCATAGTAATTTTTTCTTCTCCTGGTTTGATTTCTTGTAAGGATGTTCATGAGATTGAAATAAAAATCTGACGACAGTGTTGTGTTGGTGCTTGGTGGGGATGCTCCGCTTGCCCCAGCCCTGTTCTCACTGCCATGCGAAGTCCCAGAGCTCTGCCCAGGCTGCGCCTACCCTCCCCAAGGTGCAGGATTCACACTGTGAAAACCCACTTTGTACCTTCCCCTGAGCCGCAGCGCTTTTCTGAGATGATGTGACTGTATTAAGAAAATTAAGTGGAGAACAGCCCAGCCTTGGCTCTGGCTGCGCTCCTTGCGGTAATTGGCTCTCCAGGGTATTGGATGTTGTCGGTGCACTGCGTGCAGCCATGCTGGCATAAACAAAAAGGGGGAAGTGATCCTCCCCCCTCCCTGTCTATCTCTTTTCCCCCAAAGATTTTCCTTTTAAAACCCCTTTGCCTACAAAGGTAGCGAATAACGCTGAGTTATGGCGCATGCAAGCCCAGGCTGCCCGCAGGTGGGAGCAGGGAGGACCGGCTGCAGAAATGCGGCGCTGGGGGCAGCTGGAGCATCCCCTGTGTCTCCCCAGGGCCTACAAACCCTCAGGTTTGTAGGAGCTGGTGTCACCGCTGCTGCACATCCCTAGGGTTTGCAGGGGACAGTCCCACCTGCAGATCCATGGGTGGACAGCGGGCGATGCCTGCAACCAGAGCAGGCAGCGGCTGTGCTCGCAGCATGGGTGGGATGGGAAGAGAGACCCCGGGGCTTCGTGAGGCCGCTGCTCCTTGTCCCTTTTGTCCCCTTCAGCAGCCTGAGCCCGGTCCCAGCTTTGCTCCAGGAGAAAGGAGCCCCCAACCTGGCTGCATGGGGTTGAGAGACGCGGGGTGTTTGGAGAGAGGAAACCACTTGGGCCTTATCAGAGGGGCCCCTCTGTGGGAGGTGCCTGCTTTCTGCGCCTGAATTAATCATGTTCTGCAACCTTTCAGGAGGGGGAGACGCAGCCGGCTTTGATGGGGCTAATTAAAGTGAGCCAGCGCCGGGAGAGGCTGCGGCGGGTCCTGATAAACAATCTTTTGTCTGCAGCGCTCAGCCCCAGCGGGTTTGCGGTGCTGTGCAGCTGGGGGAGCAGGTGGGAAAGG